TGTTCTGACTAATAATTTGTGATATTCCTCTCCCTTCTAACAAATTTATTATTTTTATTTTTTCTTGGCGGGATAGATTGAAATGGAGGTACTATTTTGTTTGCAGAATCTAAAACAAAGAAAACTTGCAAAATCTATTTTGTTCCCAAAGTACAACATTCATCCTTGTGAGAGACTAAATCTGTTTTCGTAGAGTTTGGAAGCTGGAAAATTTTGGTTATAACTTATAATAAGTAAGAAGAAAAAGAACCCCATTTCTCAATATAAATATCGCTGACATGGGAGAAAAAAAAAACCATTAATCAAAGAAAGGGGTTTTAAGTGTAAAAAGAAAAGATGATAAAAGTACTATGCTACAGCGAATCCGTGTTTTCTTGTTTTTTTTTTTCTTTCTTTTTTGCTTAAAGCATCCTTGTTTCAGGAAAGAAGAATGTGCAGGTGATTCTCAATGGAAAAGCCCAAAAAAAAAATTGGTTCCCTCAATTCATGACATTTTGATGCCTTAATAAGAAGGCACAATTCCTTAAGAAAGACATGATTCAAGTAAATAGTGATCGACGATTGTCTTCTCTGCTATAATTTCATGTTTTGTACAGGCCTTGTACAATTTAGTAGCAGCGGGAGATAAGCTAGTTGGGGGCAATAAACTAGCGGTGTTAGATTTTAAATGGATGGATATTAAAATGTTCAAATACTTTAAAGACTAAAACTGATATGTGTATATTTAAAGGACCATCATAAATCTACTTCAAAAGATAGGGGACCATTTTTGTCATTTTCTCCAAATTATGCCTCGTTAATCTATTCTTGTAAAAATTATTTAAATGGTACAAAAGTTAAATAGATGTCTGAAATATTCCTATTTGTGCTATGAGGGGAAGGTTGGAAAAATATTTCTTGTTAAAATTGCACGGTCTAGCCAGTTTTCGGACTAGTTATTTAAAAATAGACAGCGTTTACCAAGTCAATGAAAAATAACCACTATTTTGCTGCAACAGAGATCGGTCCAGCATAATATACTGGAGTTTGGTGCACCTGTGTATGAACTTCCAGCATATTATGCTGGACCAATATACTTTACTGGCTCCAGTATAATATACTGGAGACTGGAGCACCGGTGCTCCAAACTCCAGTATATTATGCTGGAGTATTTTTTCGGATTTTGGATAGTGTTTTCGTTCAGATTTATCTTTACATAAAAGTGATCAAATTTCGATTACCTTTGAAATTGTGGCTATTTTTTAATGACCACTTGTAAATCTGACTATTTTTAAATTTCTCCCATATTTCTTAAAAGGTGATATTTATGTAAATCTTCCGTAAAGAAGATGTTTGAACCATGGGCCAAGCCCAATTTTCCGACATCTTAGAAATTTTGTCACATTCGTTTTCTTTAAGATTTCTCTATCTACTTTTCCTTATCTTCTTCATCAAAAGGCACTTTAAAAACCAAGAATTCATAACAAAAAGCCATTGCTGCACCAACTCAAGAAGATTCAAAACAGAGAGACACAAAGTTGGTAAAATGGCTGCTGTAAATGGTGTTGGAATTTCATGGCCATCTAAATTGACTCAAAGTCAAAGACCCAAATTGGTTTTCTCTCCATCTCCCCGTCGATGCACCCCATCTTCTTCAACAATTAAAATGACTGCATCAGTTGATGAAAAGAAGAAAACTTTCACTCTTCAAAAGTCTGAAGAAGCTTTCAGCAAAGCCAAGGTACAATTTCGATTTTTTTTTTTTTATGGTTATTGTTCAGTGTTTAGTTTTCGTTTTGAAATTGGGTTGCTTCAAGATTCAATCTTTTATATTAATTACTAATATTGCTAGTAAAAATGCTAGCTTTAAGGGTTAGAGGAAGAAGAGGAAATTTTGGTTTGATAAAATTGGTGCATTTTCCAAGATCGGCATTTACTCCTTTGCTAGAATCTTACCTTATGTCAAGGGGATTCAATACTTTAATATAATACGACAATAACAAACTCAATGTAATCCCACAAGTGAGGTCAAGTGAGGTCTGAGGAGGGTAGTGTGTACGCTGCCTTCAAGCAGACAGATAGTCTGTTTCTGGAGAGAGGCTGTTTCCGGTATAGTTTAATATAATAAGAAGTAAAAAAGTTCGTTTTTGCCCTATTTACACAGTGTAATTTTGCGGCCAAGTGGATTCAATTGAACCCTTTTTTCTCAACTTAGCTCCGTCTCTGCTGATATACAAAATGTGGTTATCCTCCCATATAAGTTATAATTGAATTGCCATTTGTATGTGTCGCTATGAGAATCTTGAGTATGTTTTAGGTGTGTAGTTGCGCTGAAAAGGTGCAATTTATTACACTCTTTAAATATCTTGAAAATTGTAGGTGTTTGACTACAAAGAGGAGATATACTGAGTAATCTGATAATGTAGCAAAATGTGTGTGTTTGCTTTAGTTGGTTTCTGTTCCCTTTACATATTCTTATATTTTTAACATATCTTCTGATGTAACTTATTGAGATTGGAACTTATAAGGGAAAGATGCTAAAACTTATCACATTTTCTAGATGGGGGAAACGTTAGGAAAATGCGCTTGAGAAAGAACGAATTGTACAATCCCTTGTTTGAAAGGGAATTGCACTTTCAACTAGTTGTCTGTGGTTGTTTGCATCAGTAGGAGGCGCTGAAAATACAAGTTAAAGTTCAGTTATATGGTGCAAACAGTCAATCTACAGATGCACTTGATTCGTGCTATTCTTTTTGTGTTGTGCTCAACATTCTATATTTTTTAACTTCTAGCAGCATAATATTAAAAAAAATGGAAGCAGACAAGATTCCAGTTCAGTTTTATTGATTTCAAGTCCCTACAAGTCCATTGATTTGCATCTCGTGTTTCACTGTTGGTAGGAGTTGATGCCAGGAGGTGTAAATTCCCCTGTTCGCGCTTTCAAGTCAGTTGGCGGACAACCTATCATTATTGACTCCGTGAAGGGCTCTCGTATGCGGGACATAGATGGTAACGACTACATTGACTATGTCGGATCATGGGGTCCAGCTATAATCGGTCATGCAGATGATGAGGTTCAATTTTCTGCTTTTAACTCTATGTTCAGCTTGAAATTTCAATACACTGCATTTATTTGGCCTGGCTCATAACTGCATCTGCATGCTTTGTATTTGGTAACATGTTTCAGAAACACAATCTTAAAGCTGTGTTTTTTTTTTGGCTCCCATTATGTTAGAAATGTTTTTTTTAATAGAACCCTTGTCCTGGAATTATTTTGGCCTTCGATGAATTTTATGATTTCCAAGAACATATGGTTTAATTTTTTTTCTTTTGTTCATTTCTTAAACGGAAGTCGCTATATGACGTTCATGTCATAGACAGTTCTCATGATAAAGTGAAGACTCAAGTAGAACATGGTAGACCTAGGTGGGAATTGTCTAAATGCTTCCTCCACTTGTTTCTCCTCCTTTCTGAGAAAGAAGAAGACCGATATGTCAACTGGATTCTCTTGAGCTCAGCTTTAATAACTATTGTGCAAGACACCTCAAAATCTTCTATGCCCCTCTGTCTTATTGCATTGTACAATGAGAAACGTGTTTGAAAGAGAGTCTTGTGAATGTCTTAGCACTGTATGGGGGGGGAGGGTCTTGGTTGTTGTGGATTGTGGAAGATCTAGGGACGAAGACAAAAGAGTGAAATTTTGCGTTGTTTTTCCGTTGCTTTTGNTGTATTGCTTTTTCAGTTGTTTTTTACGCAACAATCCTGGTATGACCTTTTCCTGCAGGTGTTAGCAGCATTGGCTGAAACAATGAAGAAAGGAACGAGTTTTGGTGCTCCATGTCTCCTTGAAAACACTCTGGCCGAGATGGTTATTTCAGCTGTTCCAAGCATAGAAATGGTTCGGTTCGTCAACTCTGGTACAGAGGCATGCATGGGAGTACTACGGCTGGCTCGTGCTTTCACTGGCCGGCCTAAGATCATCAAATTCGAGGGTTGTTACCATGGTCATGCTGATCCATTTCTTGTTAAAGCGGGCAGTGGTGTTGCCACCCTAGGACTCCCCGACTCCCCTGGAGTTCCAAAAGCAGCTACTTCTGATACACTGACAGCACCTTACAACGATATTTCTGCTGTTGAGAGCCTCTTTGAGGAGCACAAAGGCGAAGTCGCTGCTATAATTCTTGAGCCTGTAGTTGGAAATGCTGGCTTCATTCAACCTAATCTAGATTTTCTTGCTGCCATTCGCAAGATCACCAAAGAAAATGACGCACTTCTTATTTTTGACGAAGTCATGACTGGATTTAGGTTGGCATACGGCGGAGCTCAGGAGTATTTTGGAATAACTCCAGATTTGACGACACTTGGGAAGATTATCGGCGGTGGCTTGCCAGTAGGTGCATACGGAGGAAGGCGGGATATTATGGAGATGGTAGCACCTGCAGGACCGATGTATCAAGCCGGGACCCTAAGTGGAAATCCATTGGCCATGACTGCTGGAATTCACACGCTTAAGCGATTACAGGGACCGGGTACATACGAATACTTGGACAAGATCACCGGTGAACTTACACAGGGAATCTTGGATGCTGGAAAGAAGACCGGTCATGCAATGTGTGGCGGGTACATAAGGGGGATGTTTGGCTTCTTTTTCGCGGAGGGTCCTGTCAATAACTTTTCGGATGCAAAGAAGAGTGATACAGAAAAATTTGGCAGATTCTATAGGGGAATGCTGGAGGAAGGTGTATATTTTGCACCATCACAGTTTGAGGCTGGATTTACTAGCTTAGCACACACTTCAGAGGATATTCAAAAGACAGTAGCTGCAGCTGAAAAAGTTCTAAAGCAAATTTAACTACTAGGCTTCGTTCATTTGTATCCTAGATCGAAATGTTTTTCCTTTTCGGCGAGAAAAACAAATGGTGATTCGCATTGAGAGGTTTTGTAACATATCTTTTATTCAGAAACATGCTGTACCATTTGTACTCCTTTTCGGTTGTTATTCTTACTCATTTTGGAGTATATCCCTCTGTAGTATAGTGCATATGAGAATTCTACTCTTCTTTGGAATTTATCTCCTACCCGTAAATCACATATGACTTGACTTTTGGATTAAGGATGAATTCTTATTCCAACACTTGCAACTCTCTAACCAAATCAAAAATGGTGCATCATAAACCTAAGTATTAGCAATGATAACTGTGAGAATGTACGGGAGAAAAATCTATTTTATTAACAATGATACATTGAGCCCTACATATAATACATATTCTACTCCTACTACATATGGGATTAGGACATATTCTACTCCTACTACATATGAGACTATGATTATTTACACATAACTATCTAACACTCCCCCTCAAACCAATGCATACAAATCATATGTACCGAGCTTATTACATATGTAACTAATACGAGGACCAGTGAGGGTGATATGAATCAGCCTCAGCCCAATGTCACACAAGTAGCTATTAGGCTGACACGAGCTATTGGGCCGAGAACAAACAATAGGCCTAGGTTTATTTAGGATCCAAGTTGAGTAGTAGATTGTAGGCTAAGGACGGTTATGTTAAAAAGGATAGTGGATCTGAATTGGACGTTATGCGAATTGTTGAAGAAAAGTCGGTTCCTCTCTTCCCCTTTCTGAGTTTAACCTTCTCATCTCTTTTCTTCTATCTATGTATCTTCTCCTATATTCTTAATTTCACTATTTTCATTATTAGCCTGCAATTTGAGTGTTGGTTAGGCTACTAATAGTTGTAATAGATCTTTAGTTCTTATCAATATACTTTGAGATTGTAGCATTTGTTACATTGGTGCTTTCATTGATTCAGATTCCAATGGACATCGTGATACTAGATAAATTCATTGGCGGCAACCCAGAGGGCTGGGTTTATCGGGCGGAACGGTACTTCACATACCTTGGCCTCTCTGAGAAGGACTGGTTACCTCCTCCCTAGTACTACCTTGATGGCAAAGCTCTTACTTGGTTTGATTGGCTGATTCGAAACGAGTAATTTTTTTATCAGAATCATTTTAAGGAGAAACTGAAGCTGTATTTTCGGACACGGACCTTCACAAATTTAGTAAGTACAACGGAAACATCACAAGCATGTGTTGACTACACGAGTTATTTATGTGAACTAAGAGTCCACCAAATTGTATAGAGAACATGGTTCTCTATAAGTTCCCATAGAACACACACACACACACACACACACATCGGTAAGTAAATAACACAACAATATTTTACGTGAAAAACTCCCAGCTCACGTGATTAAAAATCACGACCTACACTCGTAGGATTTCAACTTCACTAACCGAGCAACTTTAGATTACAACCTATTATAACCTAGGAATTAAACTCTTAATCTCTCACCTACTTGCAATAACTCTATTGCAAGCCTCTTTGTAATAACTCTATTACAAAGTTCACCACTTTGACTAACTCTAGTCAAACACAAACACAAGATTTATGGTTTACAAAGATATCCTACAAGATGCTTCTAACTAAGCTGAGTAGGAATTATAAGTGAATAACATTAACAAAGATACAGTAATATTAAAGACACATGATGGACTCAGTGCTGGGATATGATCCGTTGTTCTGTTGCTACTTTGTTCTTCAAGCCTTAGAGTGAATGAAAGCGGCTACACACTTGAGAGAGAATTAATGATTTAGGGTTTGCAAGTGTGTGTTTTCCCTTGGCTCATGTTGGTAATATATAAGTGGGGTCATTGAGATAGTGTAAGCAAGTATCCGGTACACAGCATGCTCCAAAAAGTGACTGCTGCATTGTTGCGTATGCAATGTCACAGTACAACAACTTTAACAATAGTAAGGAGTTCACTTGTACTGTGACCAGAGGAACTGATAGCCATCTGTTCCCTCTGCAGTTCCTTTGATTGATATCATTGGAACTTGTGCCAGACATATGACTTATTGTCTCGAGCACTTTGAGACTTTGTATCAGGTTCCCTATCTTGTTCTCATATGAAGTTTGTTAAACCATTAAAACACAAAGGCACATAACATATCAATTTTCCCCTTTTTGATGATGACAAACTTAGAATTGAAGTTCTCTCTGAGAACCAGATCTCCATATGATTCCCCTTGCAGATTAGTTATATTCCCCCTAAAAACCCGTTTCTCCCCTTCAATTTTTCTTCCCCCCTTTGGCTTCGTAAAAAGAATTTATGCAAGTAAACGCAAAAAGAAGTCCAACAAAGTTAACTCATGCCACTTGTATTCACACAACATAGCTAAGAACATAGCACAAGAGTATAAGATGCATATCAAAAGACTGAGATGCTCATTTGATTAATTAAAGAAGAAAAACATAGGCAGTAGTACCATTGTTACACAACATTCACACAATAAACAAACTTAAAAGTACCACCGTTATAAAAACAACAGGCTAAAACAGGACAGTAGGACCAGGACAAACACGGATAAACTAGACACTGACAAGGGGACTATTTAAGGGGCACTGGAAGAGGGAGTGAAGGATGAAGAGGAAAGGGCTTTGAGAAGAATATACACTCAAGCATTTGTAGACCGCTGCTCGTTTATCAGTTGCTCTTTCAGGTTCTCAACCTGTTTTCTTAGGTCTGTATTTTCAGCCATCAAGCGGGCAACCTCTGCACCATGTGCACTGCTAGAACCACGTTCCTCTTTGGCTTGACTGAGCTGTCCCTCAAGAATGGCATTCCTAGCCTTCAACCTCCTTATTTCCTTGTTATCAATAGTCTGAGCATCGATCAACTGAGAAATTGTAGAATTATTGCCAACTCCTCCCTTCTTGTCGACACACTCACACTCCTCCAAGGTAGTCATTGAGAATGTTTGCTTTTGAGTTCTCACCACTGCTCTTCCCAAGGCAACTTTGAAATATTCAAACACACTAGTGAGAAGGAACCCATAAGGCAAACCATGGTTCCCAACCTTGAAGTCTGCTACATTTTTCATATGTTCAATCATGATTCCAGGCATGTTGATAGTAGTGTATCCATCCAATGCTTCCAAGAGGAACATATCCGCTATTAAAGTAATAGAACGTCTTTCCGGATGAGGGAGCATGACCTTGTTCACCATTTCAAACATGAGTTGATATTCTAGAAGCAGGGCCTTTTTGTGCACTCGTTCCCCTCTCTAAACAGCCTGAGGCTTTAGAATGATCTTCCTAAAGTCGGAGGAACAGGTCCCTTCAACAGACGAGAGCCCCTCAGTGGGAACACCCCAAGATACTTCTCAGTATAGCTTCATCCATCACAAAATCTACTCCATTAATCTTCTGGCAGATATTGTCATCTTCCACAGTGAATAGATCAGCGTAGAAGCTGCGAACTTCCTTTTCATAGACTTTGGGACTCTGAATGGTAAACAAATGAGTCCACTTATGAAACTCACAAATTGCAACCAGCTGTCTCATTCCTAACATTTCATGAATATCAGCATCAAACACTTTGTCCCATAGCACCGTTTGCTTCTTTAACCTTTCTCTTTTGTCAACTTCAGACGCTTCCACTCTGGCTTTCTTGGAGGAACCATGTTTCTCATTGTCACTTGCCTTTATCTTCTGAGATTTCTTCATACTTTTCCCCTTCTTCCCAGACTTACTTTTCTCACCAGACTCTTTCTGTTCAACACTTTTCTCTTTATCAATCTCAACACCTTTCACATACGACCCTCTCTTGGACTTTACAGTCACAGACTTCTTAGAGGATTTACGAACAAGGGAAGTAGGTTCCTCATTCACCTTTTTGTCCTGAACATCCATAATATTTGCTGGAGGCAGATCCTCCTCATTCACTAATTTTCCCCCTTTCACCAGTCTTCTTCTTTTCTTTTTATCCTTATTTCTTTTCAAAGCACTCTCAATGGCTTCTTTTTTCTGCTGCCTAGTAGTGGATCTTTTAAGAACAGGGTCTTTGGGGACTTCCCTACCACTTCTAGCAGCTGTAAACTATGATACAGGCATATCATCATAATCCTCCCCACTTTCATCATCATCATCATCTTCTTCTTTTTCTTCTTCTTCAGATAAGGGCTTCATCTTAGGAATCATAAAATTTAATGGAAGTGCATCTAGATGAGGGAAAGGAAGAGGGTCAGTACTGTCCATGGGTTTTTTAGTGGAGCATGGAGTTTCATCCCAAGTAGGAGCAGAGTGCTCTTCTTGGGTAGAGGGAGTAAGTCCCTCTGTTGGCTCCCCTGTAGTACTAATTGGTACCAATTCTCCTTGAGGCACCAGTTCCCCTCTTCCATCCTCATTACCCCTTTCTTCTCCATGAGTCTCAGCACTCACATCTCCATACACATATTCCCCAACCAAACCCCCTTCAGTAGAAATAAACATCATGTTCTCTATGGCTTCCTTCTTACTTACATCCAACAATGTAGAATCAGTAGAAGCGAGAGAGGCGTTACCTGATGGTGATGCAATATTCAGATCAAACGGTTGAGCAGAAGGAGTGGTAGATACATCAGATGCTTCACCAAGACTGGCAACAACCTCCTGGGCTACAGTTACCTCCTTAACTTGCTGGCTCGAAACCTTTGTTCCCTCTTCTCCGTCTTCTACCATTTTTTCCAACGTAGCAGAGGGAGAGTTTATCACGACAAACATTTTGGGTGTTTGATTTTTTCGATTACGGTGGGAACCAGAACTCGATGGAGTTAGAGAAGAGACAGTGGATAGTTTTTGGTCGGAGATGGGGTTTTCACTAGGTGAAGGTGGAGATTCAGACTCGGGCTGCTGCGCTTTGTGAGATGAGGACACAGTGGGAGTGATAATGGTGGTTTTAGGAGACTCTGGTTTTTGGGAAGACATGGTAATTTTTGAGAACAAAGACACAAGAAAGAGGGTTTCTGAGAGAAGAGGAAAGTTTGATGGCTTTGATGTCGATAGTTATGAGAGAGACAAGTCTTTTGGGTTATTTAGAGGGAAGGAGGAACCAATTACAAATGGGTGCAACAGACTGGGTAGACAGGTCGGTTTGTAACGAGTGTGAAGTTTGG